GACATTGAAAACAAAACTTGATCCGGTCTTTAATTTTTTGACATTGGCAATTCAGATTATTAATGTTATTCCAACCTTATTATCCATCAGGCGCACAAATTCTTTATTTTTTGTCACCACAAAAGAAAAATCGGCATATTCAGGTCAAGGTATACTCATATATATGTCAATTTGATTAACATAAAAAGGTATTAGTATTATATATCTCATCAAGCTTTAAAAACTTTAGCCTAGACTATATAATGCTCGATTGCAGTCCATGGAAGTTGCAAATATCAAAATGACAAGGATATATATGGGATCGAAGCAGTAGGAAAATGGATTACACATGAACCATGCTACCTTTTTCTATGTTTCGATTGTGTTCAAGGTCGACCACTTGTCTATTTAGTTGATGAATAGCATATATTCTTTTGGGAAAATTATTGCCCTGACATGCAAAAATAAGTTGTGGACTGTAGGCATGGGGTTAGGGTTCTTCTGTCATTTGTATTTTCTTTCTTGGATAAATGAGAATATTTACATCAAACACATGGTTTTTTGCAATACCAATTATGCCAAAAGCATTAATCCTTATCGTTGAAAATTTGAAGGCTGAATCCTTGTTTTTATAGTAAGCATGGAAGGTACTAAGAGACAAAATCCAAAGGCCTCCAATCCCATAAATAGTATTAATTGAAGCTGATGAAATACGAAAACAAAGAATGATGTTAGCAGAAAAAAAAAATTGGATAGGTTCGTTCATATTTATCGATGCAGCCTCCATTAACCACATTATTCATCAAAAAGACCTGGAAAAATTTTGAATTTAATTAATGAAGGAAACTGAAACAAAGATATGCTTATTTATTCAAGTTTATACAGTATGTGAAATCTGATGAATCATGCATGATTTTGATGACTATAAAGTTGCTTGCATCTTCGAAATTTGTTAGGTTTGCTTAACATTAAGAACTGCAGCTGACATTCTTGAGTAAACACGCCAAAAAGTGAATATAAAAACCCCAGTTGTATTGTTGTTGTGTTGCTTTGGTTCTGGAGCATGGCTATGGATGCTGCGTCATTCAAGGAAAAGGATAGCTTTCCAGCTTAGCTGGCAAAAATTTGAGACACAGAAATTCTATAGTTAACAATTAGTTTCCATCTTTGCAAGCTTAATTGCCTGTTCTTCATCATACATTTATACTTAGAAAGTTGGTTTTTGTTTTTTCTTTTAGAAATGGTCAGGGTCTTCTCTTTGCCAGTTTTAATTCTTTTTTCAAGCAATCGTAAAGGCATATACAAAATGATACATTTAAAATTTTATTTTCAAAATGCTCTCCACAAAAATCGAATCTTGATTGACAAAGAAATTCTCTTTCCTTTATCAACTGGGCTATTCCTTGTGGGTAAATTTGGTTTCATTTATACCAAATTTTTTTTATACAGTTGTTAAGATGTAAATTTTAAACCTATTAGATGACGATTTTAGGGGTAACTGCCAACTAATTAAGCTAAATTTCGGATCCCATTTGCATCGTATTTTAACTATATAGATTAACAAGAAGATTAGCAGGTTGCAGAACAGACTTTCAGTATCTATGTTTGCTTGTGTCTTGCTAAAAAGGCTGATGTGCTTGAAGAGGATAAGTTTGGGGCATTTGTTTACCTTTCAGAACATTTTCTTTTTATTTGGATGAAGTTAAAATGTGGGATCCATCCTGATATCTATTTCCTTAAATAGATTTGAGGTCTCAGATTGTAAATCCATATAAACAAGATAAAACTTAAACAGAAACAGTTTTTTTGGGCCAGTAACTTAAGACAAACATTAGAGTCCAGATTTTTTTATACCATAAATTGCATGTTATGACAAATCTTTCAGCAAAAGCGGGCTGATCATCTCCCTGTTCCATGGTCAAACAGGTGGCCTAAAACATGGACACATTCAATCAAAAGATGGGATTTAGGAACTGATTTGGAATTGTTATCTCGTAGACGTTAAGAGAGCTGTGATTTGAGATGATAACCTTGTCACCAAACTGACTCAGCACATCTTCATTTGAGCTGACTTAAATTCATTGTATATGTTCTTCAGTTGTTCAAAGCTGGATGCTTGAATTAATCTTTGGGCTTAATTTTATAAACAAAATGTTTGTTTTAGGGTATAAAATAATTTGGTTGCAGATCTAAAAATGGCATGTCATAGATCCTGAAATGAATTAATTTTAGTTTGTTCGGAAATATTTTGTTAAGCTATTTCTCTTCTAAAATTCATTGAAAAATTCATTGAAATCTCAACACCCTGTAACCCTTCAAGTTGCTGCCATGTGCCACTGACGAACTAAAAAATTTATGCAGTAACCCATTTTGGATATGCTTGAATATTAAAAACAGTTCTTGATTTAAATCAAGATCTAAAAGAAATTAAACCATAAAATATTTCCAGGAAAAATCCTGATCATAGCAGCATTATTCTTTGTCCTCCTAAACAGATACTAAGAGTAAGCATATATACTCAGGGAGTAACCTTAAAATGCTTAAACAATAAAGTTTTTCAGGGAATAAACACTTGAACAAATGCATCAGTTATCGATGAAATTTGCCGGTGTGTTGTGACAATTGACAAGTAATGAAATGTCATATACAATATTCTAAGCCACCGGATTTCTTCATTTCTATTCTATTTTTGTTCATATATCACATGTAATGTACTGCATCATAAAACTTGGCTGTCTTCTGCGCCATACATACCTTAATCATGTCGATATGCCAATCATATAGTATATTTCAAATATTTGAAAAGACAGTAAAGCATCATCAAATCCCTGTAGTTCTATGCTTGCCCTTGGGTCTAAAGCTGATGTATACCAAGAGAAGGCTTTAGCCTTTGAGCTGAGGTGCCTGTAATTGTAAAAAATCAGCTATTGTAGTCATGATTTTCCATTGGTGGGTGGGGGTTTTTGATAATTTTTTTTATATTTAATAGTATCAAAATTTAAATTTTAATCATCCAAATTAAGAGTCAAATACTCTATTGACCGAGTAGTCATGAGATAAGGCTAGAAGGGAGTCCTGCTTTACTTAAATTTGGAGAGTGTTGGGGCCAATACAAATATTGAAACATTTGAGGAGGCGACAAAAGTTCCATGCTTCAAGGTTTACATTCCTTTCTTCCCATTGTTGTTAGGAAAGAGTGTTTCTTTATAATTGAAACACGGAGATGGATTTTCTTTAGGTTTAGCCAACCCAATGAGAAAGAGAAAACCTTCAAAACTGCAAAAACTAGATTTTTGTTTTCTTGGGACAGGATGTATTGTTTCGAACTTAGTGGAAACAAAATGGTTTTCCTATTTCTTTCTTGGATGAGTGTTTGTTAAAGTCCTTTTGCAAGGTAACAAAGAGTTTCAATTCATTTATAGAGGCCAACGCAAAGAAAAAGAAACTCTCAATCTGACAATATCTAAAGATACATTTAGATAAGTGATGAGATTGATTGAAGTAATATTAAATATAATAATAAAATTAAAATTAAAATCAATGATAAGTACATATTTGCATTCAAACCCAATGATAACAGTAGATTGAATTGTAGTGAAATGAAAAATAATGATTAAAGACATTAGACTAATATTTATAAAAAATAAAACTTAAATTAGTTAAAATTTATAAACTTAATAATAATACATCAAAGGATATTTATTTTTTTATTTTTTATTACATAGTTATTTATTTTAGTTAAAATAATAATAATTTTATTTTTAGTTTATTATATAATATTTATTTATTAATTTATTACATAATAATAAAATTTATATGTTATATTAAATTAAAACAAATAATTTCATAATTTTTTAAATAAAAAACAAGAAGACAATGGCAATTGATTGGTTGATCAGGGATAAAACTAAGAAAAAAAATCCCTGTTAGCCATTGGAAGGATCCCTCTCCTGTTAGCTACCGGAGATATGGGTGTGTACGATGCGGCACTGGAAGTGATGCAAACGGTGACCGGCGCAATTGAAGCCAGAAAATGCCTCTCACCGCACCGGACTGGCCCTTCGATTGAATCCAAACAGGCCCTAAGTATCATCACTTCATAACTTGGATAGCACTGAACTGGTAGGACCACACCTGATAGGAAATAAGCACGGAGATCAGTGGGGTTGCATCATATATCTACTTATTACAAAGTTCAATCCACATTTCAGATTCTTCACATCTCAAAAATCATCGATGCTTCAGGAGGAATCTGCACTAATAACATGGGCCTGGGGACTACCGTGCAGACTTGACTTTTTTTTTTTGGTTTCAACTGAAAGCATCAAACAGAGAAACTAGTTACATAACAGCTTGAGGTCCGAAGCAAATGACTTCCATTTGCTAAATGGTCTAATTATCAAGAGATAACAGTCCTGGAAATATCAGCAACCTTGCCCTTTCCTGCTCCCCATGCCAACAATCCACCAAAATAATCTATGGTTTTCATAAATACAGCTGCTTGACCTCTTCTATAACAAACTCTCAAAATTGGAAAATTTTAAGATTCATTCAACCAATGTACCCAATTAATTCATGGTCCAAGATTTTCTTTTCCTCTTCAACCCACTTTTTTTTTTTTATCTTCTGAAGACACAAACAGATGAGTACAGGCCCTTCTCTTGGCCACAAAGAGAAGTAAGCAAACATGGCATTTTTGTGATGTTAGTTTTTCAGTCAGCTTTATCCAGATCCTACATATTTACTATGAATCCAACGTGACAGAGATTTCAGCCAAACAAAACGAGACAGAGAGATTACTTTAAGAACTTACAGATGCTGCTTACTCCTTGAGATACACCCATGTTCTTTCTACAGACCACTCAGCATGATGCTTAAAATTCATATTTGCCCTCATTGCTACTTGAACGAACCAAGTAACCATCATTGCAATTTATGATGACAAGTGCTTTCATGATTATAGCAATCTAAGTCTAACCCACAAACCAGATCCAAAAACTTGACAATAGAATCAAGGAATATAGTTTTAAAAAAATGTACCGAAATTAGATTGGAAAAATGTAATTGTTATACATAGGATCAAATCCAGATCTACTAACTCAGACGAGTAGAGGTGGAATTTCATTACCTATAGCATAAAATTGATACAACATAAACACAGTATGATATGTCAGTGCTAGAGTTCCCAAGCGCTGTCTCCAGTTGTTGAAGTGCTAGAATGTCTCGTCATTCTCTGCAAAATCACTGTCCTCGCCATCCTAATATCACGGCTACACATATCGGCCTGTCGACCCAAATTCTCGATGGTGCCCATAAATACTTCCAACTTTCTCTTTATCTCATCAATTGCAAGCTTCACTGCATCTTCTTCTCTAAGTGCAAAATCGGCATTATGCAATAGTGATTCAATCTCAATTTCCAATCGGCTAATAAGCAGTCTTATGTTTTCCATGTCATAGATTGTAATGCGAGCACCAATCTCCATTGCAGTTATTAACTCCTTCTGCCCTTTCAGCTCATTCTGATAGCGCTTCCAAAGCCAGTTGCACCATTTTCCAAGTGAACCAATAGGAACTGCCATTGCACCTGCCAAAGCTGTTACAACAGGCGGTGCAGCTATGGCTGCTGCCACCACAGAAAAAATCAACACAGAGACAAAAGTGGCTACAAACAAGACATTGGACACCCTCTTCCATGTTTTCAGAGATTTCAATTTTTTATCAATCTGTCTCTTCCGAACTAGCAATTTCCCCAGCATTGATTCCTGCTGCCTACGGACTGAGTCAAACAGTAGAAAGAACTCCTTGGTGAAGGGCTCCTCAGCTGCCTTAAATTTCCTTAGTTCTTCTAAGGTCTTCACAAATTTCTTCTCATCAGTCCCAACTTGTAATACAACCTCTTCCTCAAAATACTTGACTGCCAACTGAATAATTAATTGGTTGTTTCGAGCACGTTTGAGGCAATTCTCAAGGGCAGTACAAAAGTCTAAAGTTTTTTTACTGTTCTCAAAGTATTCCTCCACTAAAGAAAACAGGTCCGTATTTTTCCATATATCTTTATGACATTCTAAAATGATTTTGGCCACTTCCTGGTTCGTTTCAAGAAGACATCCGGTAACCTCTTTGAGTGAGTCAAAAGATAAGGATTGAACACCCAAACCAGCAGCAAGTGTGCCAATGACATGGTTAGTACGTTCATGGAGGGTTGCATCAAAATGTTGCAAAGTTGGATCATGTCTACAAGCAGCCTCGTAAGAGCTCAAGTCAGCTTCAAACTGGGAATCTGTCCTGACTTGGGAAGAAGATTCTGGACCACCTCCTTTCGTTTTGCTCGATTGACATCCCATCATAGCTGATAAAGATTCAAATGGTGATGGAGAAGATCTTAAAAACCCAGAAGCACTTTTGGCTTATAATCTATCAGTTTACAATGCTATGATAACTCTTTTTTTGGACCTACGTTCAGGTGAAGCTTGACTACAAGGATCAGATGAAAATTATATGGATATAGCTTATAAGGTAGACGTTTACTTAGGGGCCAAGGCTTGTTGTATGTCAATACTAGAAAAAATGTCCAATTATGATGATCTTTTAGACTTCAGTAACCCACAGACAGCAAAAATCTCAAATCTAAGTAGAACCCAGTAAACAAGTGGACTCAGATGGCCTTCTCAAATGAAAATTTTTCAAAAATCCAACAAAAACAGCCAATACTTTCTTGTTTACAACAAATGACCAAAAAAAAGCAAAGCTTTGGTAAGATCTTAAAAACCCATAGATAGTTTTAACATGTAGATACCGATTAGATCCAGATGAGAATAAACTAATTACCCCAAAAGGTAAAAAGATCAAATCTTTCAGTAATCCCAGAAATTAATGAGCTTAAAGTACCTGAATTTCAGCCGTAAAGTCAAAGAATTCAATGGTTTCCAGATTTCAGCGCAAAAATCTAAGCTGACCACGAACAACAAGCTCAAATGCTATGATCCTGTGCAGTCAATGAGCATTCTTGATAAAGAATTGAAATTTAACAACTACTTGGGAAAGGGGAAATTATGAGGAGAAGTCATTGAGGAAATGCAAGAGATAAGGGTTGCGGGACTGAGTAAAAGGAAGGGAAAGTGAAAAGAAAATGATAGGAAATAAAGGGTAACACAAGAGTGATGTAGTCAAACAGTACGTCTTTTCTTACATTCTTTCAACTACGTACGCTGTAGAGCGCAACAGTAGTGTTTGATTTTTCTCCTGTCTGATGAGAAAGTCAAAGAAAGAAGTTGAATTGGTCAGCTTCGACCAAAACCAAGTACTTGAAGACTAGGCGGAACCCTCGATGATGCTTCTTTTAGGCGTGTGCTTGTGGTAACTGACAGTAGCTTAAACAATGGCTTTTCTGCCATCATTGAAAAACAAAATAGTTTATTTTTAATCTCAACGACATTATAATTTTAATAAGGTTAGTAGGTGCAATGTCAATTAGTTTCATCAACAAATATCAGACCTCCTTTTAGCTTTGAGCATGGTTTTGTCAGAGAGTATATACATGTTAAAATGTTGTTTCAAAAACTATTGTGTCTTATTATATTTTTTTGTTTCTTTGAAACGAGGAATATTAGTGGTGAGATGAACTTGGTATTGAATTTAACCATTTATATATTTTTTATCCTATAAAATATTAATAATTTATATATTTATATCATATTTTATTTTAAATTTTATATATAATTTTTTAAAACTTTTAAATAATATTATTTTTATATTGTATTTTAAATTAGGGGCTTGGGCCCTATTTATAGCTACATGAACACGGTCCATTTTACCCACATTTCCCTTATGTAATAGTCCAAATGATACCCAACCCAAAGGCCTAATCCCTTACCTTCGGCCTTGTCTACAAAATGAGTGGGCCCTTTTCTCAAAGCATCAAATCGTTCGGACAATGTCAAGTTTGAGATGGTCCTTCAAATTCATTTTATTTCATCTGCTTCTTTATATCCGTTAAGATGCAATGAAAAATTAGAGACACCGAATTCCATATTTAAACTAATTAATTTATATAATTCTTTTCAAATTGTGTTATTTAAAATTTTAAATATTAAAATTTATTTAAACTGAAACCTCTGTCGTATTAAAAAAAATTTTAAATGCAGTGTAACAAAGAGGTAGTCAATTCTTTAAGATAAATTAAAGTTATCAGCATTTTTTATTAATGATTAAAAAAATTAAAATATATATATGATGAAAATTCGAATTCTATCATTTTTATTCATTATGTCATATCCATTTTTTTTTTTAAAAAAAAAAACAATCGTGATTGAAACGTCAGCCTTACAGAAATTGGGATAGGTTGCATCTTCCCACGTGAACCTAAGCCGTATATATCTAAAAGTCTTTGTAGGGCCATTTTGAATTAATGAAGCATCTAAATTTTGTGCTTTTTTTTATCTTTTTTTTTTTTTTAAGATTGTTTGAAAGCAGGAGCATTATATTTACTATAATTTTATAATTATTTAATTAAAATAAAAATTATATAGAAATCTAATATTTTAGAAAATAACATTTCAATGATGAAAAAGTTGTCAAAATAATTTTTAATGAAGTTTTAATTTAATTACTAAAAATAAAATAATTTTAATTTTAATTTTAATTTAAAAAATGGGCGCTTCAAAGGAAAATGCCTTTGGGGCAATGAACCCAACACGTGTTCTCTCCTTCTCGTACCAATGAAGGAAGAGCGGTGTCGGTGAGAGCCCGAGCAGCCCTTCTAGGAACAACAAGACAAAAAAGCCTAGCTGGTCCCAGCGACAGACCGCAAAAGTCACGCCTATCTCCCGCACGTGGGGCCAAATCTCTTTGATTTCACGGCTTTGCTCATGGACCGTAGGCCACGTGACAGCTAAACCCCACGTGCCCTATCCACGACCATTGTAATTGTTTGTACTTTTTTCTAATCAACTTTTTATTTAAGGCTTGTAATTGCTAATGATGCCAAATTTATTAATCATTCATTTTATTTATACAAGAAAAAAAATTGCGTATATTATAATTAAATTAATTTTTACCCATTTAAATTTCTAAAACAATCAATTAGCCAGACTCAAAATTATAAAAATCAACTAGTTTTCATTGAATTGACGGCACATGCAATCAATTAGAGAAAAAAAAAATTTAGCCGAGTAACAGCTGACAACGGGCTGAGCCAAGTCGTGGTTCCGGCTTCTAGTTTCTACCAAATAAAAAGAGAGACAGAAACATAACATGGACCACTTCACGCTTTCCAAGCTATGGTTGGAAACGTCGAAGTGAGAGGTCGGTCTGACTCCGAAAGGCAGTTCTGTATCGCACGTGTGGAGCCGACCGACCCCATAAAAAGTTACTGTCCGAAGGGGGGCCCAGTGGGACCCACTCCTCTGAGATCGTTGTTTGTCCACGTCTGTACCGTTCAAACTGATCATCACGTCAGTAGCCAGCCACCTCAATCACCGCAGAGATGGCATACTCCTTTTTTTAATCATCACACTTTGGGCAATTTTCTAATATCAGCAGCTGTACTCTTTCTAAAACTCTGATTGCTTTTATGACCGTCGGATTTTGCAATATCATATATTGGGATGAGAAGATTGTTTATTTGTAGTTTTTATATTTTTTAATGGAAAATTTTTTAAGCCATAATTAATGCAAAATTCAAAATAAACTTAAAATAATCCAAACATAAAAGACAAAAAGCTACTGAACTATCACTGAAGTTAAAATCTTTATTCAATCTCATTTCACCATTATTGCTTTAACTAAACGAAATGACATGAAAGTACTACTCCTTATAATAACATTTCAAAAAGATGATTAATATATGAAAATTCAGAAAAGGAAATAAATAAAAATATAAATTATATATTCATATTTATAAATTATTTAAATTTAATCTCATTATTATTCAATTGAATTCGAATTTAAATAATTTATTAATTTAAGTAAATTTTTAATTTTAATTAAATTTAAATAATTCATGAACTCAATCAACTTAAATTTGAATTCAAATTTAACACATAATTAAGTTTAAAATCATATATAAAAATTAAATTTATTTTTATTAAATAAATTTAATCGAATAAATTTTAATAATTTAAAATTTATCTTTAATTAAACTCAAATTTAAAAATTAAAATTTTATCAAATTTAAATTAAATTTTAAATAATAAATTTTGAATGAATTCAAACTTAAATTTTTTTATTATATCAATTTAATTTGATTTAATTAGACCCTTAAAAATGAGTACACGTGATAAACTTTAGTCACAATTGTGAGAAACATTAATTTGTATGAGAAGAGGACTATTAAAGAGAAAATTCGAGAAAAAGGTGGAAGGAGGGATGATTGAAGAAACATTATCCCTGTCAATAATGGAGGCTGCCCATTTCTCTGGCCCCAGAATAGAAGAAAAAATTGCTGTGTATGCCTGCTACAAGTCCAACATTACCAAATTTATTTCATGGAAAGTTTGTGTAACCAATCTTTGACTGGTCTTTTTAGCCATTGTGGCTATCATTTAACTCCAACCATCCCAAAATTATCCCATTTTTTCTTGTAAACTTGATTGTGATCAACAAAGATCTCAAATGAAAAACACAGTGATTCTCAATTTTTTGATCTTCAAAGTCACGGTAGAAAATACAACTTTCTAATGGACAGTCCTTGGGAACTTTTTTCAGGAATAACTGACAAATGACAATCATTTTGAAGCAGAAGTGAGGTCATAGATGCACCAAATTCTGGCCCTTTCCGGTTTTTCCAGAAACCAAAAATTAAAGAGAAACAAGTCACAAAATCCTTACAAAATATAAGTTTATCGTTACAAAAACAACCCTCCATGTGGCAGGGCAATGCAGGCACTTTCAAGTTTTATATCTGATTTCAACTTGATTAGGATATAATCAATGGATTATTGTTAATAGTTAATAGGCAATCAGACCATCTATATTCAAAGGCTGAAGTCCCCATTGCCATATTCAATCTCAAAGTTAAAGTGGTTATCAAGTAAGTAACAGTAAAAGAATCCATGGAAGCAACAGTGTAAAACCGTTTCCTTTCTCTCCGCGAGAACAAATAAACGAAACTTTCAACGATAAAGAAAAAGCAATATCCTCGTGAACGAGAGAGAGAGAGACTTGTCTCCTGCGTGTCTCTATTTGGACTTCAGCCATCTGATCCCTCTCTCTCTCTCTCCTTAATGCAATAACGCTCTCTTCTTCTGCAAGAAAATTCAGTTTGAAACAAAAAGTTAAGGTCTTTGCGATTGAAAAGAAAAAAAAGATGACAGGGGCATCAGGGAGATTACCGACCTGGAAAGAGAGGGAGAATAACAAGAGGAGAGAACGGAGAAGAAGAGCTATAGCTGCAAAGATATACTCTGGGCTTCGAGCTCAAGGCAACTATAAGCTTCCTAAACATTGTGACAACAACGAGGTCTTGAAAGCTCTTTGCTGTGAGGCTGGTTGGATCGTTGAAGAAGATGGTACCACTTATCGCAAGGTTTGCTTTTTTTTTCTTTTTCTTCTTCTAGATATCTGGGTTTTCTTCATTTTAAACTTGCAGATCTACATGCATGCGTTTTTTTTTTATGTTAAATTTTGATTTTTGATGGTTTTTCTAATATGGGTTTCGATTGATCTTTGGTCTTTTATGTTTTTCTTGTTTGTTTAACTTGTTTAATTGATGGAAATTCTGGTTCTTTTACAATTTTGTCTGATTTATATACTTGGGCTTGGCCTGGGAAACGACTGAAGAAGGGAAGAATGGAAAATTTCTCAACTCTTTGATTTCCTTCGTGCTAAACCAAATTACATGAAAGTATGGCCTTTCACTAATCTGGCTAAACATTCTTTTGTTCTAAGACCCTGATCAAGATTGATCTTGTGATTCTTTTGTTTGTTGCTTCGTCTATATATTTGGATCATATTTTTCCTAATTCCTTTTGTAATGGCTTTGATGCAGGGATGCAAGCCACCTCCATCTGAGCTTGCAGGGGCCTTAACTAACATCAGTGCATGTTCATCTATTCAACCAAGTCCACAGTCCTCATCTTTCCCAAGTCCCGTGCCTTCCTACCATGCCAGTCCCTCCTCCTCCTTGTGCCCGAGCCCAACTCGTTTCGATGCAAATCCCTCAACCTACCTTCTTCCTTTCCTCCGCAACATTGCAGCCATCCCTAATAATCTCCCTCCTCTTAGAATATCCAATAGTGCTCCTGTAACCCCACCGCTTTCTTCACCAACTTCCAGGGGATCCCTGCCCAAAGCTGACAGGGAATCCCTTTCCAATGCCTCCCTAAAGTCGTTTCGCCACCCGCTTTTCCCTACCTCAGCCCCATCTAGCCCCACAAGGCGGCATCACCACACACCGGCCACTATACCAGAATGTGATGAGTCTGATGCCTCAACTGTGGACTCGGGCGGCTGGGTAAGCTTTCAGACAGTGGCATCCACCGCAGCAGCAGCAGCTCCTCCTTCACCTACTTTTAATCTTATGAAAAGGGTTGTTCAACAGAATCCTCTCCAGGATGGTGTCACTGGGCATGCAGGGGTGACCTGGGGGACAGTAACAGAGATCGGGAGAGGCGCAGAGTTTGAATTTGAGAATGGTAGAGTAAAACCATGGGAGGGTGAGAAAATACATGAGATTGGAGTGGATGATCTGGAACTTACACTAGGAACTAGCAAGACCTGTGCATAAGCAATTGCATTAAGAACTTAACCTTCCTTCAGAATGTGAGTTCATTTTGCATTCTCAATATTGCTTGGTTTCTTAAAGAGTTGATCGCCTTCGCATTTTGGAGCTCAAGGAAACTTTGCAAGATCTAAAAAGTTAAGCCTAATATTGCATTTCATTGCCTGAGAAGGAATTTACAGGCTACTACAGGAGGACACACCATGGATAGTTCAATATTCAAGTGGCATGAAAGAAACACCGAAGCAATCAAGAAATTTAGGGGGTTATATATAATTTGTTCCCCATTCAATGTCTATGTTTGTCGTTTTCTTATAATTTCTTCAATTATCATATGATTGATAGGATTCTGTTTGGTCAGATTGAGAGATTATGTTTGGTTTTGAGTTTGCAAACCAAAGGATTCATCTATGTTGCAGAAAACACAAACCCAGAATCTGGAAGACAGTAATTTCTAAGTACTATTTTTACTTAAATACTAGTACTAGATTCATATCCTATACTTAAATTTTAAATTTTGGTATTATACGGATGAATACGTGATCAAAACCCAACCAATCTTTCGGCTACTTTTTTTTTTTTGCTTTTCTCCTTTCTTTTCACTTTCATTTCTTTTTATATTTCAATTTTAAAAAAATATTTTTTATAAATTTTATTTTTTAAAATGACTCATTTTACACTGAAAATTTTTAATTTTTACTAAGATTTTAAATTTATTTTTTTATGAGATTCATTTGATATTTAACAAATGCAACATAATTAATTTTTCAATTAAATTTGCATTTTTATATTTTTTAAATATTTGTCTCACCGATATCAATAACATATTATGTTATGTGTCAAGTTATTTTTTTATTTTAAAATTTTTTAAAAATAATTATATATTTTTATAATATTTTATTTTATGACTAATCAAGTGGATGTTTTATTATTTTGTTTTTAAATAATATATTTTGAGACAAGTTGGGTTTTTTTAATAGAGAAACGTGCTTGAGTCAAAAATATATTTAAGATATTCTATCTTAAATTATTTTGGGGTATATATAAAATTTTATATTTTATTATTTATTTAATTTTATAAATATACATATATATTATAGTAATAAAGTTATGAGTACCAATGTAACACTTTCTTTAAGTTTTTTTTTTCATTCTTAATTTTTTTCACTTATTTTGATCTTCTTGTTTTTTATATTTTTTATTTGATAAATATATAAAAATAGATTAATTAAGGTATCCATGTACTATTTTCATTTGTTGTTTTTTTTTTTATCTTTTTGTCTTAATTTATTTCTTTAATTAGATTAATTTTTTAAAAAATATACCATTAATAGAGATGGTAAAATAAAATATGTTACTTGCAACAATGTGCAAATTTTTAAAAATATCTATAACTATAATTAAAAGTAAACACTATCAAAATTACATTAATACCCTTTAAATTATTTCATAATTCATTTGATACATAGCATTTTATGTCATCTTTTACAAAAATACAAAAATACCCTTCTATATCTATTTAATTACATCATTTAAATTATTACAATAACTCTCTTACTATAAATAACAAAAATTATTATACTATCACTCCTATTATAATTATGAAAATATCTTTTTAAGTCAAAATTATTATAATTTTTTATTATGATAATTATAAAATTCTCTAATATTATAATTGATCAAAATTATTATAATTCTCTCATGATATTACCTTATAATTACTCAGAACTAGTCTAGATTCATATCTTATATTTTTTTCTTAAAAAAAAAAATTCGAAGGTAGATAAATTATTTAACATTTTAAATTAATGTGAGATGTATCGTATTTAATAATTTAAGACAAATGATTATAGATTATACGTTTGATATGACTCCGATAAAGATTCGAATTAAAAAATTTTTTATTCAAAAAAAATTTAATCAATTGAACCAATCAATTATTAACAACATATTTTGTACTTTAAATTTTAAATTTTGGTTGCCTACGGATAAACAATATTTTATCAACACCCACCCAACCTTTCGGCTCTTCTTTTTAAATTTTTTTAAAAGATTATATTTTTAAAAAAATAAAAATACTAAAGATTTTAAATTTTATTTATTATTAATTTAAAACTTTTATATTTCTTCAAAAAAATATATATATACAATTTAAGCGTAACCGGGGAATGCGCCTTTCGGTACGGCCACTAAAGAATTGCTTATACACTAAACAGCTGCTTATATACGCTTACTAAAAGACTGACTTTCATTCATTCATTAGGCCAGCGTGAAACTAAGAAAGAAAGATGTGCCTAAGGCGGCATGCAAGCAAACTGTGCACGCTAAGAGAAAAGGAGAGATGTTCGCAATTACTACCACAAGAGAGCCGCCCCCCTACCCTATCTCTAAAGGGGCCCGTCACTTCGTTCGTACCTTCTTGGCTTAGACTTCCAACTGAACTTACTTTATGGCCTTACCGCCCGCCGCTAGCAGAAGCTAAGCGCTTGAAAAGCGCGCTAAGAAACGTTCTTTCTGTCGGCCTTTCTGTGCAACAGTCCACCAATAGCGGAAGAGAGGGTTACCGTACATACAAGACTCTTCCAGTTCTTACGTAAGCTTTTTCTTACCAGTCAAGTAGTACAACAGCTGTATCTTATCTTATAGCCCGGCGCGGCGGGTCGCCTTTTGAATTCAGTAGATAGAACCATTGAATTTCTATGTTTACCAGCATTTATTTTTTGGTGCAAAAAAGGAGCTGTTATAACTTAGCAACTAGTACGTAAAACAAAACGACAAGCTGTATCCTCCTGCAGCAGTGTTTTCACAAAAGAGGGAGGTTCTTGAAACAAAACATGAAAGACCTCGTTACACGTCGCACTATCACTATTACATAAAGTTTTGCTTTCGAAACATAGTGGGATTGTAATAGATCGAATTTGAATATTTGAATCCAATTCAAAATTTAAGATTTAAAATTTATTTTAAATTTCATTAAAAAGTTTTTTAATTTAAATTCAATTAAAGATAAAAATTAAATTATTTAAATTTATTTAATTAGATTCGATTAATATATAAAAATAAATTTAATTTTTATATTTAATAAATATTTGATAATTTTTATTCAAATTTAAATTTAAATTTTAAATATTTATTTAATTAAAATAATAAAATATATTTAAATATAAAAATTAAATTAAATTCATAAACTATTTAAATTAAACATAAAAATATTTAAATATAATTTAATCAATAAATTAAATTTTTAATTTTAATTTAATAATAATTAAATTAAATTTAAATAATTTATAAATATTAATATATCATTTAAAAGCCGAGGGCGAGAGCGTATCCTTACATCTATTGCCTTCCCAGCATTAGTAAATAGAAATGATATGACGATTGAACTGAATAATTTTTTGTGGGAATGGTTGGGCCATTTCTCTGTTGTCTAAAATGTTTGGTTCCGTATGGAAAATGTACACTGAAATTCGTACACTTTGTGGGGTTGCGTAGGCCTAAGAGCATCCTAGAAAGAATGAAAAAAAAAAAAAAAAAAAAAAAAACCGATCCATGAGGACTGAGGTCCCCTTCCATGTGGTGTTTACTTTTATGGAGGTGATCAATGCCACGCTTTATGTTGTAGTGTACCAACAACTCAATAATTTTGTTTCTCAATTATTGCATGAATTTGCCAAGACCGAAAACGCCCTGCCTTTGTCTCTCCAATTTGATTTACTTCTTTTTCTTGGACACTATTTTTTAAAAATATAAAGATTTTTATGTGATATATATATATCGATGATATATTTATATTTTTAAAATATTAAATAAATATAAAAAATAATTAAATTTTATAGTTTAAGAATTCATAAAATATGATATAATATTAAGTCTTAAAAAGATAGAATTTAAAAAAATTAATATATAATTTTTAAGATTAAATCTATGTTTAGATGGTTTTACTTTATAATATCATATTATAGTAAAAATTAAAAAAATTTTAGAATAATTAAAAAGATAAAAAATAATTTCAAAATTTTTTAAGTCTTCTTAATTATAAAGGTAATTCATTAAAAATCTTTTTTAAAAAAAGTTTTACAAGAAAAACAAAAAAAGATAAATATTTTTCATAGATAAAAGAAGAATATGATATTATTAAACAAATAAAATCAAATCTTAAATTTATACCTAAAATATATCTTCTAAAATCTGGAGAATTATTTATTGTTGAAATAGATGCATCAGACCGACATTGAAGATGTATACTTAAATCAAATATACATAATCAAGAATTAATTTGTGGTTATAATTCGAAAAAATTTAAACCTAATGAGATAAAATATATTATTTATGAAAAGGAATTACTAACAATAAAAAATATAGTAATAAAATTTCATATTTATTCAACACCTAAAAATTTTATTATTAGAATTGATAATTAAGCAGTTAAAAATTTCTTAAAAAAATAAGAATTAGAAACTAATCCTAAAAGAATTAGATGATATAATTTTTTATGTCAGTATAATTTTTATAATTTTTTTATTGAATTTATTAAAAAATTTAATAATATTTTTGTTGATTTTTTAAACAGTTCAGATGGATAGAGACAAAAAATCTCTTGAGCAACAAAAACATATCACCATTCAAAAAGAGCAATTTAAACAAAAAATTTCTTTTCAAAATCTTAATTCAAAATTATCTTATCCTACTCGTTTTAAACTGCTAATGTTTATACTAATCCAAGATACTTTTATTCTTCTCTTAGCATCTTCTTATACTCTTTCTCTCCTTTACATCTCTCTCACACCTACCAAACCATAGTAGAGCTTTTTTTTTTTTTTTTGGGAGTTGGGGAAGGGATTCGATTTTTTTTTTTGAATAAATTATGTATCGATTTAGTCAAACGTTATTATAAGAAATTTGAAGTGCATCTTTCCCTACCAAATTAGTTTTTCTTATATACATAAGCTCATACTCCATTTTGATTTCTTCTCTCTCAACTTATTATTCAAAGAAAAGAAGAATTAATCTTCTCAAATCAATAGATTTTATCTATGGAGTTATCAAACACAAAGCCTCACGTTGCCTTGCTATCTTTCCCTGTTCACTTTACTCCTACGGTTGAGCTAGGGAAACGCCTTGTAACTTGCCAAAACGTCAAAGTAACAATCTTCGTCACTTCTTTTCTTGAATCTGCAGCATCAATATCACGGATGGTCCAATCTGCTCAGAGTGCAAACCTCTACGATGTCATCCAACTGCCGCCAGCAGACATTTCTGGCCTTATTAGCTCCGGCAAGATGGAACTCTTGTCGGTTTCATCCGTGGTTCGTTTTAGCAAACCAGCTTTCCGGTCTGCCATATCTGCTTTGGAGACTCCTTTAACTGCTCTAATTGTTTATGTTTATGCAGTTAATTGTTTAGTGATTGCTGATGAGCTTAAGGTTCCTAAATTTGTTTACCTAAGCTTGCATGCCTGGTATCTTGCCCTATTTTTATACACTCCAATATTAGTTAAGAAGGTCGGAGGAGAGTTTGGAGATGATCAGAAACAACCATTTGTTCTTCCAGGTTGCACC